GAAAGCCTTACTTACACGTAAACTTCTGTTGATAACTTTCTTTTTAGAATACCTACATCGATGAGACGCGCCTCGAATGTTCTTCGGAACATAATCTTACTCCCTGGTTAAAATAAATGTCCTAGCTAGCCTACTTTCCGAGCTTCGTGCGATTGAATCACCTCCGGTTGCGAGCAAAACACGCGGCAGCCATTTGCTTTTTTTTGCAAAAACAAAACCAGAACCACGAATGGGCGGTAAATTTCTAAATACTTGACCTAAATAATTTAAACTTGTTGTGGAACACGGGTCTCGACGACATCGTTTTCAAAAATAAGACGATTCCCGTAATTCTAAGTTTGGTTTTATTAAACCAGGGCTGTGTTTCAAATCTCACCCTAATAAACCCGAGTTACTCGGGCGGATCGTGTCACGTGACAGCAGAAATGAAAGAACGCTGGACGCAGGCAGGTTTCAAAACGCCAGGTGTACAGAAGCTTTACCTCGCAGTATGATTTCGTTAATTTTAAAACACGGCCAGGAATGAAATTTTTTATGAATGAATAGATAGATGACCCGTTTCGAATGAATGGATCCATGAGTGCGGCTGAGCAATTCCGACCGGTCGGTAAATCCCGCCACCTGGTGCCTTTTGTTTTACCATTGAAAATATTGAATTTCTGAAATCTATATTACGACCTTGAATTTACGATATCAAATGGGGGACACTTGTTCCCAGCCGCCCCTGGACTGGACAGAGACCGATTTCTTTTCTTGTGTGATGCGAGTTTCGCGAAATAAACGGCGTTTGAAAGTTTTCACATCGAAGCCAGCCATTCGCTTTCCTCACTTTAGGCACCGATCCTTTCTTCGATCTCGCTTCATTAATACTGGTCGTATCTCGTCACCGCTAGCACCGATGTGTTCCTTGGTCTTTCTAGACTCTACGGACACCACTTTGAACGTGTGTAATAAAAGGTTTCGCGATGCTACGACGCTTTTACCGTGGGCATGGTCATGGCGGCCAATTCTAATTTCCGAACCTGTGTTCGGACCTCCGAGGCTGAATTTTCGTTTCCGAGACGCGATGTTGGTGTCAAACGTGAGCACGCGTTCCGTAGAAAAGTATGTGTAAGGCTTCATTCTGTGGTGTTCTGATTTTGCATTTCCGCTTGTATAAAGAAAACTACGATAGTTGGAAGGTTCTAATTCGCAGCGATGTGTTCCTTGGTCTTTCTAGACTCTACGGACACCACTTTGAACGTGTGTAATAAAAGGTTTCGCGATGCTACGACGCTTTTACCGTGGGCATGGTCATGGCGGCCAATTGTACTTTCCGAACATGTGTTCGGACCTCCGAGGCTGAATTTTCGTTTCCGAGACGCGATGTTGGTGTCAAACGTGAGCACGCGTTCCGTAGAAAAGTATGTGTAAGGCTTCATTCTGTGGCGTTCTGATTTTGCATTTCCGCTTGTATAAAGAAAACTACCATAGTTGGAAGGTTCTAATTCGCAGCGATGTGTTCCTTGGTCTTTCTAGACTCTACGGACACCACTTTGAACGTGTGTAATAAAAGGTTTCGCGATGCTACGACGCTTTTACCGTGGGCATGGTCATGGCGGCCAATTGTACTTTCCGAACATGTGTTCGGACCTCCGAGGCTGAATTTTCGTTTCCGAGACGCGATGTTGGTGTCAAACGTGAGCACGCGTTCCGTAGAAAAGTATGTGTAAGGCTTCATTCTGTGGTGTTCTGATTTTGCATTTCCGCTTGTATAAAGAAAACTACGATAGTTGGAAGGTTCTAATTCGCAGCGATGTGTTCCTTGGTCTTTCTAGACTCTACGGACACCACTTTGAACGTGTGTAATAAAAGGTTTCGCGATGCTACGACGCTTTTGCCGTGGGCATGGTCATGGCGGCCAATTGTACTTTCCGAACATTTGTTCGGACCTCCGAGGCTGAATTTTCGTTTCCGAGACGCGATGTTGGTGTCAAACGTGAGCACGCGTTCCGTAGAAAAGTATGTGTAAGGCTTCATTCTGTGGTGTTCTGATTTGGCATATGCTCGTATAAAGAAAACTACGATAGTTGGAAGGTTCTAATTCGCAGCGAATGATCGCGCTCTGAATTTAGACGCACGGTTAAATTTTCATCGCTCCAGCTCGTCTAGAACTCGTTATATTCGCGAAAACAGGTTTTGGGGACTCTGCTTGAAGATTCAAAACCCCGACCAAGTTCAATCGTTCACCCGTGAATATTCAAGACCGCTGGAGTGCATTCATCGATTGTGGTCGTGAAAACAACATCATAGGAAAATGTGCGTGCAGTGAAACCGTGTCAGCTCATCTCAATCGAGACTTTTCGATCAACAGGGACGGTCTCCCGAGCACGAGTGGATTGATATTCTTCAAAGAGCTGCCGCCCGCTCGTAATTAGAAAACAATTATAGGTACAACTATCAAATTGTTGGGGAAGGGTCTCGTACCAGGTAGCAGTGTTTGTGTGTCAAATTTCTTCGAGACAGCACACGCGAAACTTGTTTATTCGACCTAATAAGACCACTCAGTACTGGAATGATTTCGGCTGTTTTTCCAGTTCTTTTTTCAGCGAAAAAGAAGACCGTAGGCTAGCTAGGACATTTATTTTAACCAGGGGAGTGTGATTATGTTCCGAGGAACATTCGATGCGCGTCTCATCGATGTAGCTAATAAAGTTATGAGCAAAAGTTTGTGGTCGGTGATGTCCGAGCAGAGTCCCAAAACCCGTTTTCGCGAATATAACGAGTTCTAGACGAGCTGGAGCGATGAAATTTTAAACGTTTTTCGATATTGCTCACCGCTTCATCATTTGCTACCACACTTTGCTTTTTTGTTCTGAAGCGCTCCCTCGGTTAAAAGGAACGTTCGCTATGCGCGCGAGATTAATTTAATTCATTCATCTCGTGCGGCGCGCGCTCGGCGGAGCGGCTGGTCGTTTGAAGGCTCACCAGAGCGCGAGCAAGACTTCAAAGAGCTGCCGCTCGCTCGTACAACTATCAAATTGTTGGGGAAGGGTCTCGCACCAGGTAGGAGTGTTTGTGTGTCAAATTTCTTCGAGACAGCACACGCAAAAGTTGGGGCCAGTTGTACTCTAGGGGCATGTATACAAAAAGCTCTGTAGGGTTGTGTGGAGTCCCTCTTGCAGCACAGATGTGTATTTGTCCTCACCGTCTCTGGAAAAGACGACCATAACACAGAATGAACGTCCCTCGGAGACAAAAGGCACACTTTTGGTTTGGCGCAGAAACAACGCCTGCATTCAGATTTTGGCCGTCAAGGGAAAACGGACGTAGCTTGAGGGTTGAAGCTGAACAGGTAGCAAGCTAGAAGGTTACTCATGCTTCAGCTGAGCTCATCTTGTGCCTGAAAGTGCACAAGGGGAGAAAATAGAAAGGCCAGTTGTACTGTAGGGGCGTGTCTACAAAAAGCTCTGCAGGAACAAACCTTTTCCCGAGGTGGACAGCAGGGGCCTGAAGACATAAATAAAAAAGAAGTGACACATTTAACGAGTCTTCACTGCGCCAGAAAAACAAGAATCAGCTCATTTCTTTTTGAGACCTCAGAGTTTATTAGGCCAAGAATACAATTTTTCAGACGAGCTGTCTCAATGTAAAAACATACTTCCTTATTAGTACCCTGCCATGAAAATCTCACAGTTCGTATAGTGTTCTTTTTTTTTTAACCTATGAGCTAGATAACACGATTTCACACACATGTTGCTCGCAGAGAGTTGTCACAATCGGTGTTTCCATTGAAGCGGTCATCCGCAGCTGAAGAAGACTCGGGTCAGGAGGCCATTGGTTTCTTGAAACGGAGGGCCAGCCGTGCGACATGCTCGTGCTGCACAAAAGACAAAACAATCTTTAGCGCCCTACATTTAAAAAGATACGCGAAACGATCTCACGCCAAATATATTTTTTAGGCCAGGCTCGCAGAATTGTGGAATGCCTTTTTCCCCCTATTATAGTTTGATCGCACACCTCAATTTCAAAATGAACCTTGTCATCTCCTTTCCCGAGGCAGTATTCCATCATTTCGCGGCGGACGCGCTTTAGAGCTCAATTATAGAGTATACACTTTATAGTGAAAGCTTTCTTTGCCGAGCATAGACCTATCAAGAAGCAGTTGGATGAAATATCGGTATTCGACGCGGGTCTTGCTCGCGCTCTGGTGAGCCTTCAAACGACCAGCCGCTCCGCCGAGCGCGCGCCGCACGAGATGAATGAATTAAATTAATCTCGCGCGCATAGCGAACGTTCCTTTTACCCGAGGGAGCGCTTCAGAACAAAAAAGCAAATTGTGGTAGCAAATGATGAAGCAGTGAGCAATATCGAACACGAAAATGACTGCTTTCGTGCGGGAAGTCGCGTAATCCATCGACTCGATCCGTAATCCATCGACTCGATCCGAGGTAAACTACAGTCGTCGGGTCTTCTACGGAACGCGTGCTCACGTTTGACACCAACATCGCGTCTCGGAAACGAAAATTCAGCCTCGGAGGGCCGAACACAGTTTCGGAAATTAGAATTGGCCGCCATGACCATGCCCACGGTGAAAGCGTCGTAGCTTCGCGAAAGCTTTTATTTCACACGTTCAAAGTGGTGTCCATAGAGTCTAGAAAGAACAAGGAACACATCGGTGCCAGCGGTGATGAGATACGACCAGTATTAATGAAGGGAGATCAACGAGAATGCTTCCCTTAATAAATAGTTCAAAATAAAATTGAGTGCCTCCTGGCGGAGGGCAGACACACTAGCCGAGGCGAGTGGTGTGTCTGCCCTCCACCAGGCAGCGCGATCCACCTTCCCGACGTTTTTGTGGCTAGGTGGCGTAAGCTACCGCCGGATCCAAAGGGCTCAGCCGTATTTATCTATCCATCCATCCGCCGTTACCAAGTTGCGCGCGCACACGCTTCTTAGTAACCCGTGGCAACGGTTACTTTTTTTTCCTTCTCTTTGTTTGTCCCCCCGGTTTCTTTCTTTGGCCCGCTAATTGCTCGTTTGTTCTTTTGTCTTTCTCTTTGTTTCTTTCTCTCTCCTCCTCGCTCATCCTCCTCCGCTTTCCTTTGTTCCGAGAGGCCGGCCCCAGTGTGGTTTCGGTTGTGCTTCGGAGCAGTCGCGTAGTCACCCGTGTCCAGCTCCTGCTTTGTTCTTTGTTCCGAAATCGGTCTTCTTCTTCTTCGGACCCCGAACGTCGCCTCACGGTTCCTGCGTTCGTCAAAGGGCCTCCTTTCGTTCGACACATTGGGGTAAGTGTACGTCCATTATACTATCCTTTAATTCGAGTTTTTTATTCCGATTATTTGCCAAAAGAAAGTGGTTTAGGTTTTTCAGCAAAAAAAGAATAATAATTCCGTTTAAATTCAAAATAATTTGTACGCCTATTGGACAATTTCTTTAGCTTTCGGAAAGTGCTCAAAGTGTCAGTCTATAAATGCGAATAAATAATAGCTCCCCACTGCTGCTCCAGAAACGAAGTATATTTTTTCTGCAACTGTTCTTTCCTCCGTGCGACGTCGTGTGTTGCCGTCCCCACGTCGCTGCAGATATGGCGCTTTCTAAACTGAAACGCGTCGACATTCCTGCTCTTGTTTAAATCATACGCTGCTATAAAAATCCCTCTCTAACTCAATGACTGCTTGGCCGTGAGGGAAAGCGCGCCCTTGAGTATTAATTAGGCGCGTACAGAAGCTTATTTAATCGCAAACTAAGGCGCTAATTATTCCCTACCTCTCGTCCGAAGCAGGGACTTGTAGCACGAATTGGTGATTTTTTGTGATTTTTTGAAGGAGCAGGGGAGGCACGTTTAGAGCGAAATTCATGCATTGGCCGTGTGGGAAAGCGCGACTTTGAGTATTAATTAGGCGCGTACAGAAGCTTATTTAATCGTAAAATAAGGCGCTAATTGTTCGCTAACTCTCGCCCGAAGCAGGGACTTGTAGCACGAATTGGTGATTTTTTGTGATTTTTTGAAGCAGCAGGGGAGGCACGTTTAGAGCGAAATTCATGCATTGGCCGTGTGGGAAAGCGCGACTTTGAGTATTAATTAGGCGCGTACAGAAGCTTATTTAATCGCAAACTAAGGCGCTAATTGTTCCCTACCTCTCGCCCGAAGCAGGGACTTGTAGCACGAATTGGTGATTTTTTGTGATTTTTTGAAGGAGCAGGGGAGGCACGTTTAGAGCGAAATTCATGCATTGGCCGTGTGGGAAAGCGCGACTTTGAGTATTAATTAGGCGCGTGCAGAAGCTTATTTAATCGTAAAATAAGGCGCTAATTGTTCGCTAACTCTCGCCCGAAGCAGGGACTTGTAGCACGAATTGGTGATTTTTTGTGATTTTTTGAAGCAGCAGGGGAGGCACGTTTAGAGCGAAATTCATGCATTGGCCGTGTGGGAAAGCGCGACTTTGAGTATTAATTAGGCGCGTGCAGAAGCTTATTTAATCGTAAAATAAGGCGCTAATTGTTCGCTAACTCTCGCCCGAAGCAGGGACTTGTAGCACGAATTGGTGATTTTTTGAAGCAGCAGGGGAGGCACGTTTAGAGCGAAATTCATGCATTGGCCGTGTGGGAAAGCGCGACTTTGAGTATTAATTAGGCGCGTGCAGAAGCTTATTTAATCGTAAAATAAGGCGCTAATTGTTCGCTAACTCTCGCCCGAAGCAGGGACTTGTAGCACGAATTGGTGATTTTTTGTGATTTTTTGAAGGAGCAGGGGAGGCACGTTTAGAGCGAAATTCATGCATTGCCCGTGTGGGAAAGCGCGACTTTGAGTATTAATTAGGCGCGTGCAGAAGCTTATTTAATCGTAAAATAAGGCGCTAATTGTTCGCTAACTCTCGCCCGAAGCAGGGACTTGTAGCACGAATTGGTGATTTTTTGTGATTTTTTGAAGCAGCAGGGGAGGCACGTTTAGAGCGAAATTCATGCATTGGCCGTGTGGGAAAGCGCGACTTTGAGTATTAATTAGGCGCGTACAGAAGCTTATTTAATCGTAAAATAAGGCGCTAATTGTTCGCTAACTCTCGCCCGAAGCAGGGACTTGTAGCACGAATTGGTGATTTTTTGTGATTTTTTGAAGCAGCAGGGGAGGCACGTTTAGAGCGAAATTCATGCATTGGCCGTGTGGGAAAGCGCGACTTTGAGTATTAATTATGCGCGTGCAGAAGCTTATTTAATCGTAAAATAAGGCGCTAATTGTTCGCTAACTCTCGCCCGAAGCAGGGACTTGTAGCACGAATTGGTGATTTTTTGTGATTTTTTGAAGCAGCAGGGGAGGCACGTTTAGAGCGAAATTCATGCATTGGCCGTGTGGGAAAGCGCGACTTTGAGTATTAATTAGGCGCGTGCAGAAGCTTATTTAATCGTAAAATAAGGCGCTAATTGTTCGCTAACTCTCGCCCGAAGCAGGGACTTGTAGCGCAAATTGGTGATTTTTTGTGATTTTTTGAAGGAGCAGGGGAGGCACGTTTAGAGCGAAATTCATGCATTGGCCGTGTGGGAAAGCGCGACTTTGAGTATTAATTAGGCGCGTACAGAAGCTTATTTAATCGTAAAATAAGGCGCTAATTGTTCGCTAACTCTCGCCCGAAGCAGGGACTTGTAGCACGAATTGGTGATTTTTTGTGATTTTTTGAAGCAGCAGGGGAGGCACGTTTAGAGCGAAATTCATGCATTGGCCGTGTGGGAAAGCGCGACTTTGAGTATTAATTAGGCGCGTGCAGAAGCTTATTTAATCGTAAAATAAGGCGCTAATTGTTCGCTAACTCTCGCCCGAAGCAGGGACTTGTAGCACGAATTGGTGATTTTTTGTGATTTTTTGAAGCAGCAGGGGAGGCACGTTTAGAGCGAAATTCATGCATTGGCCGTGTGGGAAAGCGCGACTTTGAGTATTAATTAGGCGCGTGCAGAAGCTTATTTAATCGTAAAATAAGGCGCTAATTGTTCGCTAACTCTCGCCCGAAGCAGGGACTTGTAGCACGAATTGGTGATTTTTTGTGATTTTTTGAAGGAGCAGGGGAGGCACGTTTAGAGCGAAATTCATGCATTGGCCGTGTGGGAAAGCGCGACTTTGAGTATTAATTAGGCGCGTGCAGAAGCTTATTTAATCGTAAAATAAGGCGCTAATTGTTCGCTAACTCTCGCCCGAAGCAGGGACTTGTAGCACGAATTGGTGATTTTTTGTGATTTTTTGAAGGAGCAGGGGAGGCACGTTTAGAGCGAAATTCATGCATTGGCCGTGTGGGAAAGCGCGACTTTGAGTATTAATTAGGCGCGTGCAGAAGCTTATTTAATCGCAAACTAAGGCTCTTAATGTTCGCTACCTCTCGTCCGAGGCACGCACTTCTAGCACGAATTGGTGATTTTTTAGGATTTTTTGAAGGAACGTTGTCTAACCTGGAAGGCAGATAGTAAACAAACGGGCGCGACGGGATTTCTAGATCGAATTAAACGCACATAGCAGTTATTCATTCGTTGTTCCACGCAAGAAATGCGTGTACATGACGCTGGGAATAAGAGAAATTTTAGAAGCGAATACTTTTTTTTTTAATCAATATTTGTTACGCGAAGAAGAGATTTCGAAGCGCGGCCGAGCGCTTTATAGTCCGGACTCCTATTCAAACCACGAGAGAGAGAGATAGAAGCATTCTCAAATACCTTTCCTTGCATGGTGTCTAGCGGTCCAGATGTTATCCAAAGTCCAGAGTAATCCAAAGTTCACCAGGAAAGTGCACACACACACACACGTTCACGGAAGCGTCCACGTTGAGACGGGGCACGGCCGTTTTGAAATCACCCGAGACTGGGGTAGAAGCATCAAATCGTAGAAGGGACAGAAAATAGACATTTTCTGTCCCTTCTACTATTTCAAGCTTCTTCTCTACCCCAGTCTCGGGCTATTTCAACGTTGTTAACATTCACCAGCTCGCCCGCGCACCCTCTTCTCTTGACTCGCAACGAAGCGCACACACAGACGTGGATTTGGGCGGCCGTTTGTGAAGTTGGGCGACTGAGGTAGGGACTAGCGGCAGAGAGAGGATTTCTGGAATAGAAAAGAAAAGTGTTGTCATTTCAACAAAGGGTACAATAGATATTTTTGTTTTTAGATTCGGTCGGTTTTAATTAAAGAGTTGTAATTCTAGGCTCTAGTTGAAAAAGGTCGACACAGAACGTAATAGCACCCTGGGTACCGTTACGACGTGCGTCGACATTTTTGCGCGGGTTTTGACCGTTAGGGGTTTGGAGAAGGTATCATCATCATGATCCAGGGTTTCGGTTTGGGTTCTGTGTGTTTTCTCACTCCAGGTCACGTGATGTTTTTGTCGGAGCAAGGATGAGTCACCCTCGCCTCAACGGCGCCTGGCTGTTGCTGTGCGTGTTCTGTCTGGGCCCGGGCTCACTTTCAGAAGGAGCCGAGAACGGAAGAAGGTCGGATTACCGTAACTCGAGAAGGTATTTGCTCATTTCCTTGTTCTTTGCCCAAAGTCGTTGTTTGTGTGAGCGCGTGCGTTTTGCGAGGAGATTATGTTGTGCTCGGCGGTTGGTAGATGGAAATGTTGTTCTCGGAGAGATTCTGCACGCTTTTTCGAGTGTCGGCAAAGAAGGCTTTTAATGGGATCTACTATATTGATATAGGCGCACATAGGCGGAGCGGCTGGTCGTTTTTTTGAAGGCTCTTTACCAGAGCGCGAGCAAGAATTACCTATGCGTGTTTGATGCAAGTTCTTTTTTTGATAGGTCCATGCTCGGCAAAGATATAAAGTGTATTTTGAAGCGCGTATTCCATCGCGAAATGATGGAATACCAGTGATGTGATAATTGCGCCAAACTGCACCAAGGGGCTAACCTTGCTACATCCTGCTACATTTCACCGAAATATGGCTAATCTGCGCCAAAGAAGCAATTTTGGTCGCCTTTCAATAACGAAACTAAACTGAGAACCGTAATTGTGTAAGCTAGGTCGCACAAGACGCCACCCGACACAAAGTACCCTGTATCAATCGTCTATTTGGTCTTGCATGATTTTTCCCGACGTCTCGCGTTTCGTGTACTCGTCGTCTCAAAAATCTCGTCTCTAGTGTATCGGATGCCAAACATGCCGTCATGCTGTGAAACAAAACCACGTTTTTGCGCGGCGGGAGTTACTTTTTGAGCTTCGTGCGACGTCGTGTGTTGCCGTCCCCACGTCGCTGCAGATATTTCTAAACTGAAACGCGTCGACATTCTTGTTTAAATCATACGCTGCTATAAAAATCCCTCTCTAACTCAATGACTGCTTGGCCAAGTTTTGATTACTTAGGTTTTCCTGGTGGGCTTTCTTTCGAGGGGGACCCCGGTACGTGAAAAATGTGCCGCGAAAGAAAGTTGGTGAAGAGAAGTGAGCTAAAGCAAAGAAGGCAATGTCTGAACCCGCACAGCGTGCATGGGCGACCGTTGGAGCCGACTTCTTGCACGAATTCTTTTGTTCTTTTCACGCGAAACACGGAATCGAGTTTTTTTCCCCTCATTCCTGCTTGTAGGTTTCACTGACGATGTTTCCCGGATGGGAGACGAAACGTTTGATTAAATTGTTAATCTTGTTGAGTAAAGTCGGAGCAGTTTTTTTTTTTATCAAACACGGAATTGGCGGCGGCGCGGAGCTAGGAAGCCGGCCTCTACGAACTCAAACGTTTCATCACTCTCTGACGCACGGAAGAAAAGAAAAAAAGATATGTGTATGGCGTAAGAACGTTCGGTGCATCTTTAATGTAGGGCGCTAAAGATTGTCTTTTTGTGCAGCGCAAGAGCGAGTTGCACGGCTGGCCCTCCGTTTCAAGTGACCTCCTTCAGCTGCGGATGACCTGTGCTTAATCAAGACCGCTTGAATGGCAACTGAGAACTTGCTCCAAGCAAAAAGTGTTTTTATGAAATCGTGTTAGCTCGTGCGAATTCACTGAATAGGAACAAGTGTGTTTTCATCGAGACAGCTCGTCCGGAAACTTGCATTGTCGGCCTAATAAAGTTTGACGTCAAGCCTAATAAAACGTGAGGTTAAAACGGAGAAATCTGTTGTTTTGTATTTTGCTTGTGAGGACGAAGCCCCTGCTGTGCACACCTGCGGAAACGAAGTAAGTACCTTATCAGTTTGTTCAGAGATTTGATTTTTTCCCGTGGTAATCGTGAAAAAAAAAAAGAGCGAGGACATAAATTCTTCTTTCTTATGTTTGAGCTTATTGCAAGACGCTATGAGCGGCGTTCTATTATATCTATACATAGCCTTTGAACTTGTGTTTTTTCTTCTTTCTTTTTGTGATCTCCAGTGTACCAGATTTGTCGGTTTACTGTTATTTTTTTTGTTCCTTCTCGTCGCACCCTGCTTGGGGATTGGAAATGGCCTGCAGTGTAAATGAATAGAAACCAAATATAAAAAAAGAATTGAAATACTTCCCGACGCCATAGGGTCTTGATCTGCTTACAAATGCATTTAAATACTCTTTTCCCAGAACCATAACAGAATGAAACAGCCTACCTCATCGCAGATTTATATCTGACAATGTTTTGTAGTCGATCGAGCGTTTGTTTCATGTGCAACTCTTTGCATGGTGTTTTAATTTTCCTCTTGCCCACTACTGCCACTCCTCCCAACTTTGTTGTGAGCTATTACATTACAATTTTCCCCTGTTCCGCTCTCCCATTTTACGGATTACCTGGTGTTGCGTTTTTAATATAATATAACAATCTGAGGTTAAACGGACAAAGAGGCCCCTGCTGTGCACACCTGCGGAAACAAAGTAAGTACCTTATCAGTATTATTCAGAAATTTGACTTTTTCCTGTGGTAATCGTGAAAAAAAAAAAAGAAATGTGTTTTTTTATGTGTGTGCTCGCCCAAAAGCGAGCACATGCATTCTTTTAACGTTCTCTGTTGCGCTTATTGCAAGACGCTGTCAGCGGCGTTGTATTATCTATACAGCCTTTGAACTTGCGTTTTCTCTTCTTTTTTTGTATCTCTGTACTTTGTATTCAAGTATATCAATCCACAAGTGCTAGCTGGGTCATTTATTTTAACCAGGCGAGTGGGATGTTCCGAGGAACATTCTAGGCGCGTCTCATCGATGTAGCTAATCTAATAAGAAAGTTACGAATAAAAAGTTTACGTGTAAGGCTTCATTCTGTGGTGTTGTGATTTGGCATATGCTCGTATAAAGAAAACTACGATAGTTAGAAGGTTCTAATTCGCAGCGAATGATCGCGCTCTGAATTTAGACGCACTGTTAAATTTTCATCGCTCCAGCTCGTCTAGAACTCGTTATACTCGCGAAAACAGGTTTTTGGGAATCTGCTTGGAGATTAAAAACCCCGACCAAGTTCAATCGTTCACCCGTGAATATTCAAGACCGCTGGAGTGCATTCATCGATTGTGGTCGTGAAAACAACATCATATGAAAGTGTGTGTGCAGTGAAACCGTGTCAGCTCATCTCAAGTTTCGCGAAATAAACGACGTTTGAAAGTTTTCGGATCGAAGCCAGCCATTCGCATTCCTCACTTTAGGCACCGATCCTTTCTTCGATCTCGCTTCATTAATACTCGTCGTATCTCGTCACCGCTAGCACCGATGTGTTCCTTGGTCTTTCTAGACTCTACGGACACCACTTTGAACGTGTGTAATAAAAGGTTTCGCGATGCTACGACGCTCTTGCCGTGGGCATGGTCATGGCGGCCAATTGTACTTTCCGAACATGTGTTCGGACCTCCGAGACTGAATTTTCGTTTCCGAGCCGCGATGTTGGTGTCAAACGTGAGCACGCGTTCCGTAGAAGACCCGACGACTGTAGTTTGCCTCGGATCGAGTCGATAGTTTAATCTACGAGCACTGATGCGACTTCCCGCACGAAAGCAGTCATTTTCAGGTTCGATATTGCTCACCGCTTCACCATTTGCTACCACAATTTGCTTTTTTGTTCTGAAGCGCTCCCTCGGGTAAAAGGAACGTTCGCTATGCGCGCGAGATTATTTTAATTCATTCATCTCGTGCAGCGCGCGCTCGGCAGAGCCGCTAGTCGTTTGAAGGCTCACCAGAGCGCGGGCAAGACTTCAAAGAGCTGCCGCTCGCTCGTAATTAGAAAACCATTATAGGTACGTACAACTATCAACTTGTTGGGAAGGGACAAATACACATATGTGCTGCAAGAGGGCCTCCACACAACCCTACAGAGCTTTTTGCAGACATGCCCCTACAGTACAACTGGCCCGACACTTTCTATTTTGTCCCCTTCTGCACTTTCTGGCGCAAGATGAGCTAAAGTGAAGCACGAGTAACCTTCTAGGTTGCTATCTGTTCAGTTTGAACCCTCAAGCTACGTCCCTCTTCCCTCGACGGCCAAAATTTGAACGCAGGCATGGTTACTGCGGAATACAAAAAGTCTGCCTTTTGTCTCCGAGGGACGTTCATTCTGTGTTATGGTCGTCTTTTCCAGAGACGGTGAGGACAAATACACATCTGTGCTGCAAGAGGGCCTCCACACAACCCTACGGAGCTTTTTGTAGACATGCCCCTACAGTACAACTGGCCCCACACTTTCTATTCTGTCCCCTTCTGCACTTTCTGGCGCAAGATGAGCTAAACTGAAGCACGAGTAACCTTCTAGCTTGCTACCTGTTCAGTTTGAACCCTCAAGCTACGTCCCTTTTCCCTTGACGGCCAAAATTTGAACGCAGGCGTTGTTTCTGTCTGAAAGCAAAAGTCTGCCATTTGTCTCCGAGGGACGTCCATTCTGTGTTACGGTGGTCACTTTGCACAGCCAGGATAACGCTGTCTGCAGTCGTGCTGGGACGTCCTTGCTGCGGCTTGGCCGACACATTTGTTTTCTCGGCTTCCGTACTTTCCCACGTCGGCTTGTTTCAAGTCCAGCTACAGCATTCTTGTCGAATGGTACCTGTGAATTCTGAAGGCTTGATGTCGACCTGTATTCTCTGCACAGCCCCCTACGGGGTTCTGCAGAAAGCCCTGTCTTAGTAAATCACGTAGGTTTTCAATGAAGTGTGTCTCCACATCTTACGGGGGTGGGCAAGCAACACCGAGGACACAGTCTTCTTGTCTGCAGTGCCTCTTTATTCTCAGACACTACAAAACCCCACGCCACTGTTCAAAGGCTCGAAAAATCAGGACTACCTTCAGCTTTTGCGTTCGTACATAAACTTTGACACCAGCTGTGTTAACCAACCTGGGCTCGTTCATTACAGGAGGAAAGCAAGCACTCGTATCAAAAATGAATCGTCGCTCTAGCACTCTTCGTCCCATCGTCCCATCTCCATGAATCGTCCCATCTCCATGACTTGCACGGCCTGTAAATTACTAGAACATATCATAACCAAACAACTCGTTTCTTTCTTAGAAATGCATAATGTTCTAAACCCCAACCAACATGGTTTCCGCAGTGGCCTGTCAACGGTAACCCAGTTGATTGAATTTTACCATGAATTAGCCACTTACGTTAACAACCGTACGCAGGTTGATGCAGTTTTCATCGACCTGTCGAAGGCATTCGACCGGGTACCTCACCGCAGACTGATTAAGACATTAATAGATCTCGGAGTTCCCTTTTCTTTGACTAAGTGGATCAATGCATATCTTTCAAACCGTCAACAATTTGTGGATATAAATGGTACTTACTCAGGGCTGTTAGATGTTCATTCTGGGGTGCCCCAAGGTTCTGTCTTAGGGCCCCTACTTTTTTTAACTTACGTTAACAGTTTGTTCCCATCCAATGAAGATGTCCCAATTAAGCTAAGAATGTTTGCCGACGACTGCGTCATTTACAGTCCCGTTGTTGAAATACAAGACCAGACAAAAGTGAGTAAAGCACTGGCTAACATTGCGTCTTGGTGTCGTGAAAATAACATGAAGATTAATATTAGCAAAACTCAGTACATGCACATAACAACAAAAAGAACTGTCTTAAACTTTAGCTATGAGGTTGCTGGCGTAGTATTGACTGAAGTGGATAGTTACAAATATTTAGGAGTGATTTTGTCTTCTGACCTCGGGTGGAAAAGGCATGTGGAGTATGTTAAAGAGCGGGCAACTAACAAATTGTGGTACCTGAAGAGAACGCTGGGTAAAACTCCCCCTTCCGTTAAAATTCTTGCGTATAAGACAATTATTAGACCTGTGTTAGAATACGCGTCTGCAGTGTGGAGCCCATGGCAGAGCTCTCTGGTCAGAGAACTCGAAGATATTCAGTCGCTAGCTGTGCGTATAGTTTTTTCAGATTTCAGACGAACTACGTCTGTGACCGAACTTAAAAGGAGAGCCAATATAAGCCCTCTGTCAAACAGAAGAGAGAGCCAACGGTTGAAGCTGTTCTTTCAGATTTTCAAGAACTGTATAAAAATTGATGGCTCCGTTTACTTAAAACCAAAAAGTTTTTACTCGGAACGCTTGCATCACTCAAAGACCGTAGCCCCCTATTAAAGCTCGAATAAATAGCTATAAACAATCTTTTTTTGTGCATACAATTGATTTGTGGAACAGCCTTCCCGGGGATGTTGTCGATATTGATTCACTCTGTTCTTTCGAAAAAGCCGTAGATAATATTTTTCAGTGCCGAGATTGCTTTTATTGCTCTTATGAAATTATTTTACTGTCTTTATTTTTTATTACTGCTGTTACATTTACTGCTATACTGTTATTGTTATTACTAGTATTACATTTGGTTACTGTATTGTTTCTCTTCTTTCGAATATGTCGTAGATATTAATTTTCGGTGCCAAGATTGCTTTTTGTTTAGAACTGTTGTGTTTATAATGTGCATGTGTGACACTGTATCACCCCACTCCTGCCTTGGCCCTATATTGGGCTGGCAGTATTGATAAATAATAAAAAAAAAAAAAAACAAAAAAAAAAAACATGCCAAAATTAATGTGCTTTTCTGGTTCAATTATGAAATAATCGCAATAGAACCATTTGTATTTACTGTGCAGGCGGTTTCTTTAATGCAACTTCTCAATTACCTAAAAGAAATGGTAATCTGAAGAGTCATCTTTTTTCACTAAAAAAAACAAC